GCCCCACCAAAGGGGAGACCCCAGGGAGCGACCAAGGCGCTGCCCGGCGCTGTCCGCGGTGCTGACCTCCAGCCTCCGTTCCTCCTGTGGCCTCAGCTCTTCCCTCCCACCTGGCGTGGCCTCAGAGCCTCCTGGCAAAGTTGACGTCACTGCCTGGTCCCGTCTCATCCCATTTCCCCTGAACTTCCTTTTTTAAAACATATTTTTATTGATTTCAGAGAGGAAGGGAGAGGGAGAGACATTAGTGATGAGAAAGAATCATTGATCGGTTGCCTCCTGCACGCCCCACACTGGGGATCCAGCCCGCAACCAGAGCGTGTGCCCTGACCGGGAGTCCAAACGTGACCTCCTGGTTCACAGGTCGACGTTCAACCACTGAGCCACGCGGCCGGGCACCTGAACCTCCTTTTGAATGAGTTTCTTGGCATCTACGCTGCCCTGCATTAGGCTGTGCCCAGAAGCGAGCCCTGACACAAGGATCTGAGTGGAAGTGTTTCCAGGAAAATCCAGGAAGGGCTGGGAAGCGGGACAGCTTGGAAAGGCCAAGAGGGCAGTGAGACGAGGTGAGTCCCAAGGACGGTGACGGGGGCTCGGTCCTGTGGGAGCTCTGGTCAGTGTGGGTCACCCTCAGGCTGTCCTGACCAGAAGCGAGGGGGCAGGGGGGTGTACCACTACACATGTCAGCCTCGGGGTGAGGGCCGCCGCTCAGAGGACACGGATTCCACGAACCTCCAGCCCCCCAGGCACAGGCAGAGGGCGTGCCAGCAGCCGGGGGAGCCCAGGTGCAGGCTCTTGAGAAAGAAAGCACTTTGTGGTTCCCCTGCATAAGAACAGGATGGGGGTCTGAGCGGACCCTTCAACATCGGCCACAGCCCCACCTCCCATCTCCTCGCCTTCAAGCCCCTCTCCACCCGACTCGGCTCACTGCGGGGGCTCCACGCGCTTCCTGGCCGCACCGGCTGCAGGGTGGTCAGTCTCCTCCCCTGCCCCGCAGGCCTGCCCCCTGCAGCCCCCAGCTCCCAGCCTGCATCTCACCGTCCCGCCAAATGCACAGCCTACGGTCCCCGGGAGCCTCCCGGCTGCCGGCCTGGCTGGTGGCTCAGGCGTCACCCTCCGCACGGCAGCTGCCCGTCACCCACTCAGCACCCTGGGTCCCTGCGCCTCGCCCAGCCTAGACCCATTCCTCAGCCCAGGCCTCTGCTCCCCTCGGAACCACCCCAGAGAGGAGGGAAGGGTCCTCGCGGTGGAAAGCGAGGGGGTGGGCCAGGAGAATGCGAAGGACAGTGGAGCCGCCATCAGAAGGAGATGCCTGGCGCCTGCAGCTCTCAGCCCCGCACAGCTCCTTCCTCTGCCCTGGTCCCTCCGTGCGCATCTCACAGGCCAGGGCAGAGCCACCAGACGCTGGGTCAGGGCCAGCACACGGCCCGTCAGAGCCAAACACTGACGGGGGCGGCAGAGGCCGGGTGGCGAGGATGACCCCTCGTCCTCGGATTCGTCCTGCTCCCCGGGCCGCTGGGCTCGGCTGTCACGCTCTGATTTGACTCAGAGGCTGTGACATGTGGTGCCGTGTGTGCAACGAAACTGCCAGCAGCTCAAGCGGCCCAGGGCGAGGAGGCTGCCAGACCATCTAAGGCGCCGTCTCCCGCGCTCAGTCCCAGCACCTGGCGGCCCTCCGGCCATCTGCCCCCTCCGGCAGGCCTGCGTCTCCCCCCTCCGTCCGTCCCCAGCCTGGGGCTGCAGGTGATTCTCCTGCCTGGGCGGGACTGTCAGCTCCCGCCCCATCTTGGCAGGAAGGTGGGCAAGTGGGCAGAGGCCCGGGCTCAGGGCCAATCTACTTAGAGTCTAAGTCTTAGACACTCCCAACCCCCGAGGGAAGCACAGACTGCCCTCGGCCATCTGCTTCAGCCCCTGGAGCTGCCAATCCATGACCGTGGAGTTTTGCTGACCATTCAGTTCAATTTAGTTCAGGGGCATCAGGCCCCACGCACAGCGCAAACGGCGCGGCTCCCGTGGGCTGGGAGAGGACGCGGCGAGGACGATAATGACCGGGCAACCATCGGAGCCGCCGAGACAAACTGAGCACCTGCTGTGTCCCCGGCACCACTCCGCAGTTTATACACATTAACTCATTTCAGCTCCCAACAACCCCAGGGCATGAGGACACGGTTTCATCATCCCCATTTTTCAGATGAAGAAACTGAGGCACGGAGAGGTTAAGCAGCTCCCTGCAGGCCACACAGCTAGCAAGCGGAGTAGATATTTGAATGCACGTGGTCTGACTGGAGTCTGGGCTTACTGCTGCCCCCGCGTGGAGCAGCTGCTGGCCGAGAGGCTGGGCCCAGCGCTCTCCCCAATGAGCTCGAGGTCCCCAGAATTCCCCCAGGGAGGCCCCTGGGTTGCTCTTATCACAGCCAAGGAGACCCAGGCTCAGAGAGTTTGCATGACTTGCCCAGGGCCACACAGAGGACTTGACCCTGAGTCTACTGGGCTCTGAGGCCATGTCCTGAATTACTGTGCGTGACCGTCTCCCTGCCTGGTTACCACCAATCACCGCCCATTTCCATACATGATGGGGAACCCTGTGTTACACGGCTCTGAGGCCATGTCCTGAATTACTGTGCGTGACCGCCTCCCTGCCTGGTTACCCCATTCACCACCCATTTCCACACAAGATGGGGAACCCTGTGTTACATGGGAGGCCTCCCGGAGAACAAAGCCCTAAAGAGGCCCCAAGTTGGTAAACTTCCAGCAGGTTCGATTCCGGTCAAGGGCACATACCTGGGTTGTAGGTTCACTTCCCGGCCCCATCAGGGCATGTGTGGGAAGCAACCCATCACTGTCTCTCTCTCTCTCTCTCTCTCTCTCCCAGATTGATTTTTCTCCCTCCCTCCTTTCTCTCTCTTTCACACTCCCTCCTCCACTTTCTCTAAAAATCAGTGGAAAAAATATCCTCGGGCGAAGTTTAACAACAAACAGTCTGGCTGAATTTATTAAAAAGCTTTTTGTAGGCAAAAAGCTTTCCCATAACCCTTCCGCCCTGGCTGTCCGTACTCCTGGAAGCAGTCCCCGCGGGCGTGCAAAATGCCGAGGACACCCAGGGCCCTGGTCACCGGTCACTGGGAGCGCGTCGGCTTACTCCTGCATGCGGCACCACCACCTATGGCTACTTCCTGGAGGCCACCGCCGTGGCGCTCAGCTGGAAGACCACCGTGAACCTCAGAGCCTGGTGGACAGAGCGAAAGCTAAGAGGTCAGGAAGCCCCGGGTTCGAATCCCCCTTCCTGGCTGTGTGGCTTTCACGGGCGACGGGACCACTCTGAGCCCCACGCTCCTGGTCTGCATTATCAGGGAGCATCCCGGCTTGCAGGGCTGGGAGCGGCTCTGGGAGATGCTGGGTGCTCAGCAAATGTATCCCCGCCCCACCCCACCCCCGGGAGCCCCGCAGACCATCTGGTCCGAGGGCTGCCAACAGATGGCTCCGGGCAGCGTGCAGGCAGCGTGACGAGGCCGGTGCTGGGCTGGCCCAGTGCAGCAGCAGCACAAGCCACCAGCCCGGGGACGACCTAGTGCCCGCAGCCCTCGCCTGTGGCTGGGCTCAGAACCCACGCAGGCGCAAGCACCTGACTAGGAAAGAGTCGACAGGTCCGAAAACCGGCAGCCAGAACCAAGTGAGTCAAAGATGGACAGCACAGACGCCCACCAAGTGCCACACAGACCAGAGACAGTCCCCAGGGTCGGACCAGGCTGCTAAGGCCCAGGCCCTGATACCGGCCACAGGAGGTCTGTCTGCAATCCCACCAACCAGGCGGGGGCCAGGGGGGGCCTGGGGGCGAGAGGAGGGCCGTCGGTCACCGCAACAGCCATTCTCTCACCCACTTCCTATTCGGTCTTCCCAACATCACCCAAGCCTAGTGGTCACTCCCCCAGTTTACAGATGAGAAGACTGAGGCCTAACGGTCACATCATTCGCCCAGGATGACTGATGACTCCAAATGCATTGTGCCCCCCTCGGGGTCCTCGCCGCAGCAGTTCCCCGCGGTCTCCCGCGTTCCCGCCCTTCTCCGCTCTCCCCGCCCCGCTGCCCGCTGCCCAGCGACTCTGCATTCAGAGGCGACCAGGGGGCAGACTTAGTTCCCTCCTTCCTTTGAACACAAGCACTGCGTATGGGAGGAGAATCATGGCACAAACACAAAGGTCTCCATGTTTCCGAGTGACAAGGAGCAGAATTGATGGCGGGCACTCCGCACTTTTTTCTGTGACGCGTTAGAACGATCCCGCCCAGATCAGAGTCCGGTGGGCAGACAAGCAGGCTGCAGGGTCATTTCTGGGCGGCACCATCACATCCATGGCCCAGTGGCATCAAACACCTCGTCCCACGCCTTCGCAAGGTGACCCCTGGTCATCTCCGCAGCAGCTAGGACATTCCAGATCCTGGCGTTGGCTGCCCAGGTCTGACGTGACATGCTGGACTCGCGCACATCTGATCGGCGACCGTGCATTTAATCCCACCAACTGGAACCAGTTCAAGGGGATTTAATTAACTATGTTTCCAAAAGGGCAGACTGTCCAAGGCACTTCAGCCAGTTCCACCCAATACTGTGACAACAAGCCACTGCCACTGTCATCTCCCACACAGCACTTCAGCCTGTTCCACCCAATACCGTGACAACAAGCCACAGCGACTGTCATCTCCCACAGGGCACTTCAGCCTGTTCCACCCAATACCACGACAACAAGCCACGGCGACTGTCATCTCCCACACAGCACTTCAGCCTGTTCCACCCAATACCGTGACAACAAGCCACAGCGACTGTCATCTCCCACAGGGCACTTCAGCCGGTTCCACCCAATACCACGACAACAAGCCACAGTGACTGTCATCTCCCACATGGACAACAAGCCACAGTGACTGTCATCTCCCACAAAGGCACAGCTCGGTAAGCAGGCTGCGGAGGTTGCAAAGTTTTAGGGGAAAATAGAACCCCACTCCTTGGTATGTACCTGAAAAACTCGACATCATCTATATGCAAAGATATATCCACCCCTATGTTCATTGCAGCATTATTCACGGTGGCCGAGACACGGAAACAGCCAACGTGCCCTGGAATGGGGCCTGGATAAAGAAGACGTGGTCCATGTACACAGCGGAGCACTCCCAGCTGTGTTACAACATGATGCTGAGTGAAACAGGTCAGACAGAAAAGCTAAGAACCACGTGATCTCACTCATACGTGGGATATGAAACTGAAACTCGTGAACACACACAGCAGTGAGGTGGTTGCCAGGGGGAGGGTGTCGGGGGAGAAGGGGCCCTAATAGAAGGTGACAGGAGAAGATGTGACTCTGGGTGGTGGGCACAGGGTCCTATATACAGGTCTTGTGACACAGAAACCCACACCTGAAAGCTATATGTTCATGCTGACCAATGTCGCCCCAATAAAATTTAATTTAAAAAAATAGGCATTGACAAAAATTATTCATTTCTGTAGATTCTTTTAAATTTTGAAAATGCACTGGTGTTAATACACACTGCCGCTATAATCATTAACAAAAGAAAAGGGGAGCTTTCGATGTGTAACTCTCACTAATCCGGGCGGCTCCCGCCCGGGGCTCCTGCTGGCTCCAGACATCCTCGCACCGACGTGATGTTCTGAGGGAAGTGCTGGGGCCCCTCTCGGCCCCCCAGGTGTCCTGCAACCTGAAGCAGAGCCACATCTGCCACTCGGGGGGCCACTGGCCTGGAGCCCACCCAGGGGGCTGCCCTGGACACTCTCGAAGGGCCACACCTTGCCCCCTCCTGGCCGAGGGCCTCGGCACGCTCCCTAACCTCTGTGCGTCTCACCCGTAAGAAGAGCGACAGTGGGAACTACCCCATAGCGTCCACGGAAGGTTCAGGTAAACACTTAGGACAACGCCTGCCTGGCCCACAGGAAGTGCCCAGGAAAGTCAGCTACCATCCAGAGACTAGAGCGCGGCACCTTCAACCTCCCCCCCGCCCCCCCGCTCCCTGCCCAGCACAAGGCGGCTTGGAAGAGGGGGGACTTCACTTCTCCAGCCCCACCCTGACCTACCCCCACCCACCCATTGAGACTCATTTTCTCCCAGTGTGGTCTCAGCCCGTCCCCACCACCAGGCCACCAGGAGGCACCCAGACCCTTGCCCAGACCTGGAGCTGGAGTCAGACCTGGGCTTGAGGCCCAGCTGTCTCGTCTCAGGCCCAGGCAGAGGTCCTGCTGCCTCCCTAAGCCTCAGTTTCCTCATCTGTAACATGGACGTTAACACCGCCCACCACACGGGCCTGGGGGAAGGACCAATGAACACTGCACACGGCAAGCCTGCTGCGAGCCGGGGTGCGCTGTGCACACGCAGGGCCTGGCGGGAGCCCATGCGCCTCACCGTCCTGAGGACACGTCCGCAGGGGCCCGAGACCCCCAGGCAGTTCCCAGGGGCTCTCCCCCAGGAGCCTGTCCTGCTCGGTGGCCCTGGAGACTGGCTGACACCTGCACAGCATGCGCTGCCTGCAGCCCACCTTCTCGCCGTCCCTCCCCAGCCGTCTGTGAGGGCAGCATCCATGTTCCCATTGACCAGATGAGAAAAGTGAGGCTCGGAGAGCTTCTACAGTCCACATCTTTCACTGAGCAAAGGGTTCTGCTTGTGAGAAATAAAATCTGCCGGATGGCCCGGCCGGGGTGGCTCAGTGGTTGAGCGTCGATCTATGAACCAGGGGGTCAGTGTTACATTCCTGGTCGGGACACAGGCTTGGGTTGGGCTCGATCCCCAGTAGGGGGTGTGCAGGAGGCAGCCGATCAATAATTCTCTCTCATCATTGATGTTTCTATCTCTCCCTCTCTCTCTCTCTCTCTCCCTTCCTCTCTAAAATCAATTAAAAACTACATTTTTTTAGATCTTCTAGAATCTAGATGAAGGAGGGGTGGGTAAATGAACGAGACCACATCGGAAAACGAAGGGCGCAACACCTGATTCACCAACTCAAAGCCAGGAGGCCCGGCCACGAGAACCTGGGGCGCTGCTGGCCGCCCCCCCCCACCTCCGAGACCTGCCAGGGAGCAGAGAGCTTCGGGCCAGGACCAGCAGGAGGTCCCCGGGAGCCGGCCTGTAGGAGTCCAGTGGGCAGTGCCAGCAGCAGGGTCACACTGCCGGGGAGACTGGGGGGCACTGGCCTCTCTGGGTGAGGCTCCCACTCAGACCCAGGAGGCACAGAGCCGGTCCCAGCAGAGGACCACACAGCGGCAAGGCAATCCGTGGTGCAGACACAGCCGCAGCAGCCTCCCACTCCCCGTTTCCATGGGGATCCCCTTGAAATAACCCCAGCGCCAGGCTGCTATTCTTCCTGCGGGGGAGGAGCGCGGGGAAGTGTGATGGGAGGCGGGCGCTCCGGCACCCGGGCTGCGGAAACGCGGAGC